TAGGGTTATGAGAAGGGCTAAACCCGCAGGGGTCATACAAAGCCTGGGAAGTAATTAGGTTTGATCAAGGAAGGGGTAGCTTCAGTTTTTTTTAATTTGAGAGCTCCTCCCAGAATCAAAAACCCCCGCCATCTAAGAGTAAAACAGAAAAACCTTTTTGAAGACACAAAATTTCCAATTTTTTTAAATAAATTTTTCAGGGGGGAAAACGCCAACCCGTGGGGATGTAAAACTTTGAGAAATGGGCTTGCTTCTGCAGTGTTTTAAAAACTGAGTTTGGAGGTTGAAGGAGGAGGTCTTGCTTTCCGAGGAGATTGGGAGGGAAGGCCACCTCAATGGGCCTGGGAGGAGTGTGAGGGGGTTGGAGATGGGGGAAGAGGCTTCTAGAAGTGGGGTGCAGTCTTCTCTACTGTGAGGGGGTGTAGGGGGGGGAGGTAGAAAGGGTACCAGCAGTGAGGTCAGCCCAGCACCTGCTACAAGTGGGAGTTGTTCACAGTAAGGGAGGGCCACCCGAGAAAAAGGGAAAATTAAGAGGAAGATCTGAAGGTAGGGGAAAACGCTTCTTGTTCTCCCGGTGAAGTACTTCAGTGGCCCTGAAGGTAAGGGTACACGCCCCCGCTAATGAAGGTAAGCGCATTCTTTTGGGGTTGGGGACTCCAGGTAAGATAGTTGACCGTGCTTTTTTTAATAGGAAAAAGAAGATGAGAGTTTGAGTGTGCTTTCCCCGGGCTGGTTTGGGGACATTTTCAACAGACTGGATAAATCATGTCAGGTAATGGGAACAAACCCATTATCTGCTCAGTGCTGGGGGAAAAGATATTGGGGAAGGGGAGGAGCGAAGAGCTGCTAGATAAGTACAGGTCAGCTATAGATTTCATTAAGTCTAAGGGGGGGGATTCCCAATCATATGAAAGCATCTTGCCTAGAAGGGGAGTAGGAAATGAATGGTTGTCTAGGGCAATTGGTGTAAATTGCTGGCTAGACAGATACTGCAAGGAACTTGCAATCCCATTCATTGACACGGGAACAACTTTTATGGCAAACATGATATGTATGCAAGGGATGGGGTTCATCTCTCTGGGGCAGGGGTGGTAGCACTTGCAGACTCGATTGAGAAGGCCATTGGTGAAATCCCTATGATTTTAAAACTGATGGAAGATAGAGGTAGGGGTGTGTGTGGGAAACAAGCAGGTTGCAACACTAGGGTTTGGAAACAGTAAATGTATAAAAGGCATTCAGCATGAATTTTATAAATAAAGACAATAGAACAGGTCAGAAAACAAAGGGGGACAGCAGAGGGCAGCAAGGACTAGCTCCCTTAAGGTTTACTATACTAATAGCAGGAGTGTTAGAAATAAGATAGATGAGCTAAGATTAATTGCAAGTGCAGGAACATAGATATTATTGCATAACAGAGACCTGGCTCAATCTGAAAGATAGAGAGAATGCCATCTGAATGTCCCCATACAAGGCTATAAATTATTCCACACTGACAGGGTCAACAGGAAAGGGGTGGAGTAGCGATGTATGTCAGAGACAATTTAAATTGTTGTGTTAGACAAGATATTAAAAATTTGAAGCGTCAGCCACTGAATCTGTTTGGTTACAGCTTCTCGAGGGCCGAGAAAAACTAATTTGGGTGTGATTTACAGGGCCCCAAATCTTTATAGGGAGGTGCAGTAAACTTCTATGGACGAAATTCGTAAGGCATCTAAATACGAAAATGTTGTGCAAAAGGGAGATTTCAACTATAGACAGATTGACTGGGCAATTTGACAGGAAATTTAGAGTCGGGTGACTTTCTTGATACGATCCAGGATTGTTTTTAAAACAGTTTGTGACAGAGCCAACTAGGGAAATAACCTCCTTGACTTTGGTTCTTGCCAGTAGGGAAACACTAATTAATAATCTTGAGGTTTAAAGATGAGCTTGGGAGAGTGATCACAAATCACTCAGTTTTAACATATCATGGAATTCCCCTAATAATGGCAATCAAGTCTCCGTCCCTGACTTTCGCTTGGCTGATTTCATAGGACTGAAAAATTACTTAGGTGGGCTTTAACTGGAATGACCTGACAAGGGTCAGGTAGGTGGTTGATGGGTTTGCCCGATATGATGCTTTCCCGGGCATAGTTCTAGCTGCTCAGTCAAATTATGTTCCAAATAGGAAATCAGATCAAACAAAAATGATCCTAAATGGATGAACAATAGATTAAAATATCTGATTGGTCAAAAGAGAGGCATATATAGGCAAATCAAAAGAGGAGAGGGGAATAAAAAAATCGATATTTTCAGTTAAAGAGAGAAATAAAAAAGGGAATTAGAAAAGCAAAAGAGTTTATGGGGTTTAAAAAGTTGCAAGAAAAAATCGAAGACTAACCAAAGGATTCTTTCAGGTATACAGAAGTAAGATCAGGGACAAGATAGGCCACTCAAAATTTTCCTCGGGTCAGCTCACTGACAGTGATAAGGAAATGTGTAAAAATTTTTAACACATACTTCCTCTCAGTTTTTAACACAGGAGGATACCAGTGATATTCCAGTAATGATAAATTATGTAGAACAGGACGATAATAAACTGTGCACTATTAGGGTCACAAGTGACATGGTCCTTAGGCAAATAGATAAATTAAAACCTAACAAATCCCAGGCCTGATGAACTGTATGCAAGGGTTCTAAAGGAATGTAAAGAGGAGCTTAGCACACCTTTGGCTAATCTTTTCAACATATCACTACAAACTGGCATGGTGCCAGATAAGTGGGGAAAAAGGCAAATGTGATACCTATTTTCAAAACAGGTGACAGGTCCTTAGCTTCGAACTATAGACCCAATAAGCCTAACCTCCATAGTGGGAAAATTTATGGAATCAATAATTGCCGAGGCAGTTCGAAACCACCTTGAAAAGCATAAATTAATCAACGAATCTCAGCATGGTTTTACAAAGGGACGTTCCTGCCTTACGAATTTATTAACTTTTTTCACTAAGGTAATTTGAGGAGGTAATCATGGTAACGAATATGATATTGTGTATATGGGCTTCAGTAAGGCTTTGAAGGGTCCCACATCAGAGACTATTGAGGAAAATTAAAGCACATGGAATAGGAGGAGAAATTTTTTCCTGGATAGAGGCATGGTTGACAAATAGGCAGCAGAGAGTTTGCATAAATGGGGAGAAATCAGAGTGGGGAAGCGTCACGAGCGGTGTTCCACAGGGGTCATGTTGGGCCCCCTGCGGGTTCACAATCTACATAAACGACATAGATGAGGGCAATAAAGGCGACATCGGCAAGTTTGCCGATGACACCAAAATAGGCCGTCGAATTCTTTTCTGAGGGAGGACTTCGAGCACTCCAGGAAGATTTGAATAGACTGATGCAGTGGTCGGAGAAGTGGCAGATGCAGTTTAATTAGACAAATGCAAAGTTCTAAATGTTGGACAGGACAAAAACCCATGCCACATATAAACTAAATAATGTAGATCTTAATATTACGGATTGCGAAAAAGATTTAGGAGTTTCTGGTTAGCAGTAATCTGAAACCAAGACAACAGTGCATAAGTGTTCGCAATAAAGCTAATAGAATCCTTGGCTTCATAAACAAGAAGCATAAATAATAGGAGTCCTCAGGTTGTTTTTTTCAACTTTTATACATCCTTGGTTAGGCCTCATTTAGATTATGCTGCCCCAGTTTTGGTCACCGTATTACAGAATGGATATAAATTCTCTGGAAAATGTACAAAGGAGGATGACAAAGATGATCCCATGTATCAGAAACCTTCCCTATGAGGATAGACTAAGGGCCCTGAAACTGCACTCTCTAGAAAGACGTAGAATTAGGGGGGATATGATTGAGGTTTATAAGTGGAAGACAGAATAAATAAAGGGGATGTAAATAGTGTGCTGATAATATCTAGCCTAGACAGGACTCGCAGCAATGGTTTTAAGTTGGAAAAATTCAGATTCAGGAGGGATATAGGAAAGTACTGGTTTGGTAATAGGTTGTGGATGAGTGGAACAAACTCCCAAGTACCGTTATAGAGGCCCAGAACGTTGTGTAGCTTTAAAAATAGGTTGGATAAATACATGAGTAGATGTGGGTGGGTGTGAGTTAGACCTGATAGCTTGTGCTAACGGGTCGGTTGCCGTGTTCCTCCCTTGAGTCAATGTGACCTGACCTGACTAGGTTGGGTGCATTGGCTTAAGCCGGTAGGGACTTGGACCTGCCTCGCATGGGCCAGTAGGCCTTCTGCAGTGTTCCTTCGTTCTTATGTTCTTATGTTCTTATGTGTGGGGGGGGAGGGATGGAAGGCATTCAGGCTCAATTGAGGGAACTGGAGTCCAGATCCAATTCCCTAGATCAAGAGCCCGTCACCAGCGTCAAGTAACCTCTCTTAAGGAATGTGCAACTTATCCACTTTCAACAAAACTGTTTACGTTCCGAGGCATAAAACTAGTGACGTCATCGCAAGTGTCAATACATAAAAAAAAAAATATATGAACTTGACAGTTATGACCAACAGTGTCAGCTGCGTCTTGGTGGCATGAAGCAGGATATTCTTCCCTGCTATCATTACAATCAAAACTAAGCGCTAAACCCACAAGGGTTATACGGTTTGCTCCTTCATCTTCAAGGAATTGTGCATAATTATATTTAGGAGGCAGTGACAAACCCGTAGGAGGCGTACAGCATCTAAGATAATGGGAGGCAATCAGGTTCAATCCAAGAAAAAGGGAAGATAGGTCCAACTCCTTGGATTAAGAGCCCCCCTCACCAGCATCAAGTCACCTCACTTGAGGGGGAATCATGCGTAGAACATTGTTCAAGGAATCATGTGTAGAACATTGTTCAAGGAATCATGTGTAGAACATTGTTCAAGGAATCATGTGTAGATCGTCACTTGTTCAATAAAACATTTCACCTTTACATCATTTTTCACAAGCAAAATATAAGAAATATTAACACCAGTAGTAGTAGGAGGGAATATATTCAAACAGTTGAATAAATTTTATAGAAAGAATTTACTGATATAAATAACATTCTTCTTACACAATATTTGGACATGTAGAAACATACAAAACGTAAAAATATACATCATACATCTATGTCATCTATACATTTAGGACAGTAAATTGAAGGAAATCGACTGAAATAGGAAACAATATGAAAAACTTTAACATTGTCAAGACTTCATGAAAAATAGACTAGAAACCAAATGAACATAGCAAGGAAAAAATCCTTCACAAAGCCTATAAATATTTAAAGTTTCAAACAATATAAGGAATGGACTATGAATGCAAAAAGCCAAGCCGACTAGCGTGGTCCAGGGCGATAAAGCCCACTATCTGTGACCCGAGTACAGGTCAGTGGAATAGTAGAGGAAACTGACAGTGGCGCCCCTCCCTCCCTCCACCTGGCCGGCTAGCCAGCAATGTTAAGAATGACTTGAGACTATAACCTTGAAGGGAGCGATACCTTCCTCTAACATATGTTTTCACCTCCCCGGGAAATCCGAGACTAGAGCAGCGACTGGACACTAACATTAGCCAGTCGTAATAAGAATAAATAGAGGTAGAGAAGAAAAAATCCTTTGGAAATGTTCGTTTGACTAGGTATAATATATAAAAACAAGCATGGAATATAATTAATGTAAAACTGTACAAGCAGATCTATGACACTAATAAATAACAATCTCTCTTTTTCTCTCTGAGTTAAAAAGGTAGGCTCAATACCTTTGATTTAAGAGTCCTTACACTAAGTCAGTTTCACCAGTATGAGCGGACTAACTTTGGCTTGAGTCACAGCACCATCAATGGGGGTTAGCGGGGGGGTTGGAGCCGAACCTCGCGTCTATAAACCGTTGAAACCTCTAATACTGGCATCTCCTTATCGGCGGAGATGGCATACTAGCACAGGAGGTTCTGAAGAACGGCAGCCAACCCAGCACACTCGGAACAGCCTCATCCTAGGCTCACCACTCCACAATCGCCCACAGAACTCCCTAGGCTATACCTACAGTAGCAGGCGCTGAGACACGCCATACGGGAGTAGGTCCTAAGGAATGCCGTACAAGAGCAGGTCTTGAGGAATACCTATAACAGTAGACCCTGAGGAACACCATACAGGAACCGGTCCTAAGGAACACCATACAGGAGCAAGTCCTGTTGGGTTGCACCTACAGCAGCAGGCCCTGGGCGACACCTTCGTACGGGTAAGGGTGGAACAGGTTAAACAACATGGCGAAGAGCGTACACGCCGCATAAACTCCCAGGGCGACCCACCACAGGAGCTGTTCATGAAGACGCTGCTCGAAGTTCTTGAGAACTACTAATCCGAGTGTGAGCCCCGCTAACGCCCCAGTAAGGTGAGCCACATAGGACACCGGGAGTCCCACAGTCTCGTGAGCGTACCGGTCGTAGATGGCGAAACCCACATCGGCGCTCGCTGAAAAATAAACATGGTGGTCAACGCCTATGTACACAAGAATCCCTTAAGAAAGTAAAATCATTCCAAATAACTGTACACCGAGGTATTCAGTACATATAGAAAGGAGATGTACTGAATCTGAAATATCTATCCACATCGGCATAAAAAAGGCTTCACATCTCTTTCTAGCACGGTAGTGGCATCATTTCAACAAGATTACAGAACTGTTTACGTCAATTAATAGCCAGTATTAGACTTACCTACAAAGAATACGCCGATGAGTCGTAGGATGCCAAACTGCATGTTGTTATAATTTATTAGTACGTTGGCCAGATGCGCTGCCAACAGGGCGTACACGCCTCCGGACGCCCCCACCAGGTAGACGTCGGCGTCGAAGACAGAGGTGCCCAGCGAGCCGGCCAGAACCCCTGCTAGGTACACGGTTCCTATACGTGCAGACCCGTGTACCATCTCCAGTGGCAGGCCCACCAACAGTTGCACCAACAAGTTGAACGCTAAGTGCACCCACCTACACAAAGAAAACAACAAATTCTCCTCATCGAACAAATAAAATAGTGTCCTCACAAATAAAAGAAAACGAGTTTCGGTGTCCGTATCACATTAATTGCCCATATTACTGAATATTTCCAAACTAAAAAATCTAACCCCCTCCCTCTACACAGGCAAAACATTTATCAATTACTCAAGTCAGGGAAAATACATGATTTTTTTTCAGTTACAAAAGTGTTAGAGGCTGGTAGAACTCTAGAACTTACCCTGCGTGTAGGAAGGCGTAGAATATAAACCTCCAGACGTGATGCCGCTTGTCAGGTCTGTATATAAAAAGAGAGTCGACAGCAACGGGACCCGCCACGTTCATTTCACCCGTCGTCACCGTGTAATACGCAAACACTCCTAACTGAAACAAAAAATGTAATTTTAAAATACTGTTCCTGTTTATGAAGAAAGAATATTTTTGAATGCAAGATAGTGAAGAATTAATACATTTTTATCAAGATACCAGGTCTTAGCACTGACTGGCCTACACGATCACAAGTAGCTACCACAACATGTACTACTGTAGCTGAATCTTCTCGCCATCTCTATAAACTTAATACTAGGTTATTTGCTCGAGTAACAGCTTCTACTACCAGAACCAGCTGAACTATTCTTGCTTGAACTATTCAAGTTTCTAAACACGGAAGAAGTAGCCAGACCGTACTTCGTCCTTCTAATAGGTTTTTCTGGTACCTGCTTTTGCTTTGATGGTACATCAGCAGCTCGACAGTATTGTCAGTGTTGTGCGCAAACTTCCTAAGCGACCAAAACTAGGATTCTTTCTATCTACTTTAACGTCATTCTCAATGATAAATGGAATATATTAATGGAAACTTAGAAATCAGAGGTTGATTCAGGAGCATGGAGGGCAGCCGGCATACCTCTCTTACCCCCGATGGCGCCACCAAACCAGCTGATGTCATGCAAAGGGAGAAACCCTTGCCAAGCTGCGCGCCACGCCACTAACACCGAAATTTCGACCCATTTTTACACAGCTTCCCGATAAGCTGTGTCCATCAGTGTTGGGTAGTGTTTAGAGAGGTAGGATCGAGGATGATGGTAAATCGTATCAAGAATGAATGTTATAATGTTTATTCAAGTTAGGCTACAAAACACGTGTCACATCCAGAAATAAACGTGAATGCAGTTAGTGGTTGCGAGAGGCCGGGTCATGAGGTAAAGTATGGCGGGGAAACCTCACCTTGAGCGAACCCATCTCTCACCTGACCCTGAACCACTACAACCTTCCATCTAATTCTACGTGGAAGAAAACAATGATACGAAACATGGACGGAAGTGCCACTGGGTGGGTGGAGCAGGCGGCAGAGTACAGCTGGCACCCACCAAGCCTGGCACGGTCACCCGTGCCGGCACCGTCGCTCGGGGCCTCCGCCGCCGCACGCGGGGGTGTCTAGCCACTATCGTGTGGTCGCTGCCTAAAGTTTAGAGGTGGGGTAGCCAAGTCTACTGGGACGCGCCCTAATACCCAGGCAGCAGAATCCGACAAGTGCGACATCGTCGGCTTTTTGCCGGTGGCGGCGCGTGCCTGGCAAGACGGAAGACGACCACAGGACCACCCAACCCCACCCGGACCCCGGCAACATACTAACCAATCAAGTCAGAAAAACTGCTGTTTCTCGCACGTTTCGAGGTCAGTACACGAAAATCACAGCCCAGGAGTAGGTTCTCCCTAACGTGAACGAATATAGATATAATATTTTTGGACATGAAGTGTCACAGTAACAAGAGACATTGTACAGCAGAGAAGACTTATTCAACGAACTTTATACTGGTCACATGGTGTTCTTTAAGGCAGTGGCATGTTAGGGAAGGATCTATTCCTATTATTATTATTTGTGGATGAAGTGAAGGTAATGCATACCCTACACACACAAGATTCTCCAACGACGCTGAACAAAGTGGAAAATATGTAAGCCACATGTAGTAAATGAGAGTCGAACCCTGATAAATGCAAGGTGATAAGAAAGGGAGAGGTTTAACTGTATTTTTTTCATACTTCTCCCATCCACACTGCTCTTACAACACACAATTAACCCACGAACTGGAGATAAAAATTACTGATCCTTCGACCCGCCCAGCACCATTATTAAGTTTGAAGTCCATTTTATAAATGCCCCAGGACTGACAAACGTCGAGTTTTCATCTCTAAATGTTAGCTGTGAGGAGCCTTTAAGAACCTCGACAATGATATTATACACCAATCCGAAGACAATACTGGAGCATGCATCACCTGTATGGGCAAATCCACCACATAAATCTTATGTAGATGCAGGACAGGGTAGGTTCAGTGAGATATCTCAACACTAAGACACATTAACGTGCTACCAGGGCTTGCTTGCTTACTTGACCTGTGTATTCATGCGTTACCATCCTAATGGATATGGGGACGGGGGGTGCACAAACTGGCTACATCAGCGGAAAAATATAAAATCTAACGAACGGAAAATACTTTAAGAGCCAACAAAGGTTGATGTGAAACTGAAAGGAACGAGTCCAAGAAAAGCTGACAGCAATAAAATAAAAAAAGTTTTTATAATGAACCCCCTAGAACTAGGGTTGAACAAATGGAATGGGGTGGAAAAGAAGCTTCTGGATAAGAGTTCAAATGCATATCACAGCCCATCATATTACTGATATACAATACTGACAATCTGAAGAACAAGACATGCACAACTCTTTGGTAACTAAATGCTAAAAGTTTCCATCTACACTACAAGTTTCTTCGATCAAATACAAGCTTGAGGGGAATGGCCACCACCTACTAAAGCTAACGGACTGATCACGTCAAAACTACTACTGCTGTTACCAGTGTATACTAGCCCATTCGACTGAAGCCTGTTGTACATGCAAAAAGTCTGAGCAATAAAGACACTGAAGCGTTGTACATATATTCTTCATGGCAGCCCGTAAAGATCTAAGAGTCCTCATACCGGATGATTTGTTAAGGAAGCGGTGTGTCGAGCCGGAGGCCTACCCCACGAACATAGTACAACTCCACTCACCTCTTGTTGATACAACTTAGTTCGGCCCATCTATAAGAACAGAGGTTATAGTCGTTTACCAGAGTAAGCTGTCATTATGAAGGATATGAGCTTATATTTTATTTTCATTCATATTAGCTCACTCCCATTCACTCGTCATTTACTACAAAAAAATACGAAGTTATTTTCGTCACAAAAAAGCGTTATGCCCGTGGGTCCTTCAGTGCCAAACATCAACAAAAGGTAGAGACAGGACCACACCCAAAGACAAGACGTGGTATTGAAACTCGAGTTAAAATTAGTCCAACGGGGAGGCTAAAACTGCACCAGCAAACCTGTTGGCGCACCCAGTTATTTATTCCATGTTTACTTGCCCAGATGAAAAATGAAAGAGTCATTCTAGAGAGGGTATAGATATTAATGGAGTAGTGTCATTACTCAGACGTAGCCGCTAGGCAAACATCCTGATTAGTGACATTCACGTTCCATAACAAGCTTTTATTTTGAAGTTTCGCGCTGTGAAGAGCTTTATGATGAAGCTAACAGAGAAACTATCACAATAAAAGCTCGTTCTTCAACGTGTGTGTTTTCTTGATGGTTCACTCGTCAGGAAGCAGTCTCGTGATACCAGTGCTAATCAGCTGACATTCTGACCTACCCCAGCTAGCTTTTACAATCCACTCCATAAAAGGACCACCACAAGTGGACCATCAAAGATGAAATCCTTACAGGTATCCTAAGTAACGTCTTTCTCCATTAAAACTGTGGGTAGTAGGCTATTCTGCTCCAGCGAGGGTGAAGACTGACACGAGCGAGGCGCCAACACGTGCCCACAAACATTAATGGTATACAATAACCAAAAGTTGATGAACCAGATGTGTGCAACACCTGGATAACTATTATTTTCAGAATAATAAAACCCAGGTGTTGCACGTGTATCGAAATGCCCACTACTTTAGCCGAACATTCTTCTAAAGAAGTTCCATTGCTACACTTTGCAAGTCTCTGCGTAAGTCACAAAGCATGAAAACTAGATGCAAGCAAAAAAACTCAACCTACACCATGACACGGAACGAAATGACAAAAAAAAAAAAAATTAACTGGAGCAGAACGCCTAGAGGAAAACTGGAGCGACTTGTGTTGGTGGTCAATAAGGAGGTTCAGAGGGAGGTACCGGCCTCACCACACTAGTTTCACGCTCTCCACCTCACCCCCTTTCCCTCAACGACCCCCGTCTACGTCACCCTTTCAACGCTCCCCCCTCCTCTCAACGCTGCTTTCTATTCGCTCACTGTTACATTATACAGAAAAAACTCACTGAATTATAATGTCAATACAAAAAAGTCTGAATAGAAATATAGTTGGTAGACTAGATTACTAAATACGGCGCCTGCCCCTCCCCCTCAGGTGTTTGCCGTAAAGAAACGTGACTAGGTTTGATGTGGGTGTTCGGGGAGGAGGAGGTGGAGGTGTGTGGGAATAGGGAGGTGTGTAGGGGCGTGTGGGAAGGTAGGGGCGTGTGGGAAGGTAGGGGCGTGTGGGAAGGTAGGGGCGTGTGGGAAGGTGTGGGCGTGATGGGAAGTGCGTGGAGTGTAGGCTAGTGGTTACACAGTACTTAACACGCCCGCCTGACCTGCTGACCGGAGGTTTCCTCTTGACAATAACGGAATGTAACACTGAAGAGATGCACCTCTATTGTACAGTAGCACACACTGCTACAACACTGCCAGGTGATGGTAGCACACTCAAGAGTATGGCAAAACACACTATTAGGCGCGGTAGTCTTAATAAACCATATAATCTATTAATCACTATTACTTTTATATTACCCAGCATTATATTTCTAAAATGTTTAGTGCAGCGCTGTATAGCCCTTGTGGCTTAACGCTTCTTTTTGATTATAATAAAATAATAAAATGTTTAGCCATGATGGTGATGTATGTACCACGTGCGTCTGCCTGCATGGTACACATCTCTATACTTGTGCAGTTGTTAGCGCACCCCATGACAGTCGGAACGCGGCGGCGCATAGTTCTGTAGGTTAACATAACCTGGGCTCTCTTACACTCCAAATATTACTGCATCGAACTCGTGTTTGAAATTCATCACAGGTGGACAGTGACCTCAACGATATTCATGCGGGTGCTGACTGACTGTTACTATCATTGGCAGACAGCCACCATCCAAGTAGGACTGATGGACTATCATTGGCAGACAGCCACCATCTAAGTAGGACTGATGGACTATTACTGGCAGACAGCTACCATCAAGGTACGATTGATGGACTATCACTGGAAGACAGCCACCATCCAGGTATGATTGATGTTCTTTTCTATATCAAGACAAATCTTGCTAACTC